ATTGACTACCCTGATTCCGACTATCACCATGCCAGCTGCCCTTAGGTTTTCCGACAGCGATTTTCTGAAAAATCAGTTTTTCGGACCTTTCGTTGCAAAGTTATAGAATTTACAAGCCTAAATGTTCATTGTTGGCACAAAGCTATAGAAATAAGGAAAAACTAATTTAGGCCTTCTCTTGTAAATTCTATAACTGTGCAACGAAAGGTCTTCTAGAACTGGGAGATGTCTCATTTTAATCAGAAATTTACGGGCTACAATCCTAACTCAATAAGAACGGGTTTTGGTTATTTTTTAGAGTTTCCGAAAAACTGATTTTTCAGAAAATCGCTGTCGGAAAACCTAAGGGCAGCTGGCATGGTGATAGTCGGAATCAGGGTAGTCAATAATCCATGACCCACTTGAAAAAAAACTTTTTATCGCCTAATTTTGAGGTACTACGGGTTTTACTGGACGAGGTCTGCCGGGAAAACCTCTTCAGAAAAATTTACTGTCTACATGGATAAACGTCCTACGAGCTGCTCTTTCCAATGGTGAAAACCACAGGTCTCTAGGTCTTTTCGTTCCTGAGTTATAAGCGTTTTGTTCACTCATCTTATTTTCAGAAATATATAATAGTTATTTATATGAAGAATTTAGGGAATTTTTATTGAACAACAGATTAGAAAACAGTGTTCAAGGGCCGTTTTTAACATAATAATTGATTCATGGATAGCGAAAAGTTATTTGCAGTGCGTGACATCTGGCTCAAGAGGCAAATGGAGATTATTAGTATTTAGTAATGTTCGGTTCTCGTTAAGAACCGAAATCGCGGTTCTCTTATTTTCGATTGACTTGCCTTTCTTTTAACAAAATGAAAACACACTATTGACAACGCTACAAAAAGATATATTTGCCTGTCATCATTTAAAAGAATCTATTCGTTTTAGTTCCGCATGAGGAACCGGAACCGCGATTCTTTTCGTTTCGATTCTAACCCGAGAACCGAAACCAAGAACCAAACATCTCTATTAGTAATCGACCCGTTATTGCAATTCATTTTAAATTAGATGGATCAAATAACTGGCCAAAGGGCTTATGATAGTTGAAAGAAAGAATTATAAACAAAAAGCCCGAATATCAACTGTGTTTCTCATAGTGATGATGTACCAACTGATATGTTAAGCACTATTATGTTACTGTAATCACGAATGAAAAGTCTTTTCGTCATAGGGGGTAACAAAATTTTTATAAAAATTTAAAAAAATATTATCATAGTCTAAAAGCTTCATTACAATTCAAATGTGGCGGCAAGAGTGAACTGATCGAATTATTTGTTTTTTGTATAAATTTAGAGTCGCTACTTGAATGTCTCTGTAAAATAATTTCCCATATTTTTCCATATTCACAAAATTTGTCGATAGAACTATGCATTGGTGTACTACATACAAGCATATTGGCTTTCTTAAAATGCTCAGTACAACCGTCGGCGACTTGAGCGTAATCTAACTGCCAACCAGAACATCTCACTGCAGCAGCGCCTGCAAGAAATCCAGACACAAATACATCACCGACCCACGCAACATTGTCCAGTAAATAATGTAATGACGCTCGATATAGTCGATCTCTAATAAATTTCGCCATTAAAAATCCAAATCCACTGCAATATTGAGGTAACACCTCAAAGTTCCATGTCAATTCGTTCACCCCATACTTTCCTGTGTTTCGCTGCGTTGGTTGGCCGCCCATATCCGATCCACGAAAAAATGTTTGTTTGTTTATTTTATCTAAACTACTGACAAATGAATTGAGTTGTTTATTCAAATAGTCACTATTCGATTTATTGTATAAAAATAAATTAACAATTGCTGATAGTAAAATAGTGTCAGTAATGAGATCATCATCTGTTTTAAATAGATAGGGAATTTGAGAATGATACTCAAATGACCATTTGAGTGCTCCTACTTCTTTAAAAACAACATTTTGATAGCTTTCATTGTGTTGAATTTGAACAATATCATTGTATTTTTCTCTCTCTAACTTCACTTTTTGTTTTAAAACGGGATCACCAGATGATTGTAGTCCAACAAGGAAAACAAAACAAGTATGATTCAGTAGTGGATGATTTGTTCGATTTGCATATGTTTGACGAATATAATGGCGTCTCTCGAGATTTTGTATAGTCGATAAGATATAAACGAGTAAAATGTCATCTGATCGGCACATATTAGCATACGAATGTTCATTAAAACTAACTTGAACATAACGTTCAGGTATAATGGTGTTTAGAAGAGTTGATTTAGAAGTTGTGGTTAATACTGTGGAAAAAATATTAGAAGAAATGTTATCGTGCTGACTAAACTCGAAACGATGCAAGATATGTAGTAGATCGTGCATAGCTTTTCGACTCTCGGGATGTAGATGATTGGTGTCAATCTGATTTCTCGTGGTTTGAGGAACAAAATACATGCTATTATTGCTGATTAGTATTGGTTGAATTCGTTTTGTCACCTGAATTATCATCAGAATAATACCCATGCACAAAACACATAAAATTGAGAATATGTATTTCCTACAATTTTTACATTTACGCATGATTTTAAGCAGACCAATGAATCTGAACGAAGGGAATGAGACGTCTTTGCTCGACTCCTACAGTAGAAAAATTCAAAAATAAAGATAAGCACTGGCTGATGGTAGTATCGTAATAAAATCTTTGCTGTCACATAAGCTTCCTTCCTCTCAAGAAATGACGAATTTTGACTAAGATGCAGATTTTGAGAAAATACCACGATTTTATTACCCAAAGCGTCTTCTTTCGAATGAAAGGGTAGGAAACGGTTTCTGCTAGAAAATGGTATAATATGATTTTGAGTGAAAATAACCAGAAATGCTTCCGTTTTCACTTCCGAACACTTCTGACTTTCAAAAATGACTCCTGATCTCCTTGAAGAAATTATTTCTTACCAGTTTTCGCCATCAGTTCATTGAAAGTCACTCACTTTGTTTCGTAAAGATAATGCAGTTTGATGGAAAAATGTTGTAGAGAGCTCGGAGACATCTTATCCTCAGAAATATTTACTTTATCTAACTAAACAATTTACACAAAACTACCGATAGAAGCTAGGATACTTGAAAGTAGGTCTTTGGGTTTTCCCAAATTTTTAAAATTTTTTTTGTATACGCCTCATCAGATAGAAAAACGTTTCAGCTGCTCAAAGCATTCTTTTGTATTCTTTTAACTGTCCTGGTTCACGGAAATACTCAGAAAAAGAAAGCTCAAACTTTTGTCACGTACTTTAAGCAACAGCCATAGTTGTATAATATTTAGGGTAGAAATGTATGAAGGCATACGTTTACAAGAATCTAATATATTCAAATATAAATAAGAGAATAATTGACACCGTTTTTATTATTTTATTAGAGACGTTTCGTTATGAACTCATAACATCATCAGTCGAAAAATGAAACAAATGAACAAGCAATACGAA